TTGTACATTGTAAATATGTATATTCTGTAATACAAAAACTAAACCAAAGAGCAAAGTGTACCAGAGTCAAATTCCTTGTTTGTATGTACGAACTTGGCAATAAAGCTGATTCTGATTCTGATTCTGAACTTGCTGCAGGGACGATATATCCCGTCTGGCCTGGGAGTGTCTCAGGAGCCCCCAGCATGACAGGGATGTCTGGGTATCCCTCGTGGACCTGTTACTCTTGCGACCCAATCTCAGATAAATGGAAGACAATGGATGAGCCAACAATCCATGTTAGACCTGCCTGTCACCTGCAGATTGGATTATCTCTGAGCATTACCATAATTTATTGTATATTTAAAGTTTAAACTTGTCATAAATGTAATGATTCTAAACGAGTTGGCTAGCAGGAAATAATAAGCTGCATCTTCGTGGTATTAGTTTGAGTCTGTAGAGGAACCAAAGTTATTCTGTTATAAAACACCATTTATTGCAGACGACAGTAGTGATATGAAAAAACAAAGACGACTTAATAACTGTACAAGCAACTGAAAGTTTATTTTTTTTTCCACTTTTCCACAAGCTTTTAGTTATTATTATCCCGAGATATTTTATAGATTTTAGATCCCAATTTATCTTGAATTTGGTTCTGATCTCTTTAGATGGGTTTTAATTAAATGATAACACCTGAGTTTTGGTGACATTAATTTTATAACCTGAGTGTTGGGAGAAAGAATTCAGTAGATTTATCAGAGGGACAAAATTTTGACGTGGACTATCTAAGTATATTATAATGTTGTCTGCAAATAAGCTTATGATATGTTCTCTTCCCTTAATGTTGACTCCTCTCACCTTCTCACTCTCCCAAACGGCTTGTGCTAGGGGTTCAACGTATAGTGCAAAAAGCAGAGGTGAGAGGCAGCATCCTTGACAGGTGCCTCACTCTAGCTTTATTTGCTTTGTTAAGCTGCCATTAATTTTTATTCTCGCTGTAGGATTTTGATAAATGGATTTTATGTATTTAATTGAGTCTTTATTGAAACCAAATCTTTTCAGTACGGCATACGGGAAGTTCCAATTTACGCTATCAAACACTTTTTCCGCATCTAAGCTTACTAAAATAGCTCTACTTTTTGGGGATTGTATCGAATCCACTACATGGGAAGGTTAATTATTTTAAAGATATTTTTTCGGCACTAGTGGCCTTTATTTTTAAATTTTTTTTGACAGTAGGCAGACAGGAAAGAGAGGGGGAGACATTCGGCAAATGTTGCCGGGTCAGGGACTCGAACCCGGGACGGGCGCTTCGAGGACTGTAGCCTTGTCGCGTGCTTAACCCCTACACCATCAGCACCGTGCCCGGAAAGTTAATTATTTTAAAGACTTTTTGGCACTAGTGGCATTTATTGGCAATAACTAGACCGCTGCATCACTCAGTGTCCCGTTGGAAGAGATTTAAGTTACATCCCAACATGTTAGGTGAGCTGAACTGTATTTCCTGTTTTCCAACAGTGACCTTGACCCTCTCCAAGCTCCTCATTGGTCTGTTCGAGTTAGGACAGCTGACAACCTTCAGTGCTTGCTGGGTAGGTGACTTGTTTCCAGTCACATTTAACCTGTTTTTAAGCTTTGTTGTTGAAACATGCTGCATCTTTTAGTAAAACAAGATTTTACAACTATAAATGTCTTTACACAGTAATTCTGCACACAGAAGTATTTAAAATATATTTTTATTCAGTTTAGAACTTTTCTAACTTTCTGTTGTTTGGGGAAAATTGTCCTTTACAACATGAGATGGTCAGTATTTCCTGTTTGCTTCCATTTGTGATGAGAAGCTAAATAATGTGAATGTTTTGTATGATTTTCTATTCTTTGTAGGAGACTTTGTTACCGAGTTCTTTAAGCTTTGCTGTCGAAAGGAGTCTGCAGAGGAAATTCTGGGTAGAGGCCACGCTCAAGAAGAAGGCCAAGGTCAGTCTGCTTGCTGTACTGTTTTATACTCTACACTGATCAGGGCTGTTACTTTTTGGTTCATCTTTACATTGAGTAGGTAAATATCAGTGTTACTGTCCAGTCTGGAGAAGTCTAGAAAGGTCTGGAGTTTTGATCATTTAACGGTTCTCTCCAAGATAAGTATGGGGAAAAAATTAGTATGGAAAGATGTTTTATTTTCCATACTTCTATCATATATTTAGTTCAACCTAATGACCTAATTATGCTTAATAAATATATATGTTTTTATTTAAATGTCAGTGTTTGTTTGATTTCCCAAATTTCACTTTGATTTGAACATATTATCACCCAGTGTTTTGGTTTTTAACAAACTCATTAAAATGTACATTTAATTCATTTTCATAAACCAATTAAGGGCCATTTGAGCACCCTTTTGTATTTAAAACCACTTCAAATCAGGGTGATCTGGATCCGAGGTTAGGGGTAAAGGTCAAGCATCACACTAAAGTGCTCCTTTATGGAGTTTTTTTACATACCAAATAAAGGTTTTGTGAGGTTTTGTATTTGTAGAACCAACAGGATGGACTTTTATTCAAGCAGCTTAGTGTGAATGTTCTGGACTCAAATATCCAGTATGTTATTAAAACTGCAGGGAAAAAAATATCTAGAAATCTGATTCTAGAGAGTCTAGAAAAGTCTGAAGTTTTCTTTGACCATGTTCTCTCTAGGAGTATGGGAAAATCTGATTGTAGAAAAGTATGTATATTTGACTAAAAAACCGTACAGGATCCCTAAAATCCTGTTGCACAGCAAAGTCTGTTTGCTGGTAACTGCTGAACATGTTTTAATTAGTGTTAGTAAGTTTTAATAAGTGCTGTATTTTTCCATGCAGAAAACAGTGACATCAGCTCTGCTTTGTCCAAACTAACGGAGCCAGCAGCACCCGTGCCATTAAGCAAACTGTCTGTGTCCAGTATGGTCCACAGCGCCCGAAAGCACATCCGCCGGCGCCGGCACATCGACGAGTCACCACTCAGCGTCGATGTCCTCAACTCAATCCTCCTGGTATGTTTTAGTCATATGAGCTCGTTCTGTATTAGAGTTGTTGAAAATACAGTCAAAAGACAGTCAAAATGAGGACAGAGACAGCTAAAAGACATATTTACAGTTATAAACAACACACGGGCAAATCTGATGAAGGCCTTTCAGAAGTTCAGATGTTCAGACGGTCAGAGTGCTTGAGAGTTCATTTTATTCAAAACAGCATTGATATGAAATTTATTAGCAGATTGGAAGGTAAAGATGTCATCATTGTCGCATTGTGTCCTCCAACACAATGAGACAAACACGTTCACCAGGGCAGATCTTATGAGAATATTCAAGAATATTCACGCTTTCCTCCGTAACGAACTGTTCAATTCCAGACAAACATTAATTTTCATTAAACTGAGCATTAAGCAGTGCAGTATGTATGTCTGGTAAATATAGAGTACATTAAAGATTTTTCCTCTGTCAGTATCTCTTCCCAGATGCAGCGGTGGAGAAGTCATCAGGCAAAGAGAAAACTACTCAGTCACATTTTTTCAGGACATCCGAGCAGGAGAAGAGCTCCGACAACGTATGTTTGGCCATTAACACGTTAAGGTTTCCCCATGACAAGATCATTTCTGTACAAGAGTCCAGGTTAGATAGAAGAAAACAACTCCACACAAATATGAGATAGCCTACAGCAGTTTTTCTAATACATCTGGTCATATGGATATTAAATTATAACAAAACTGAAATATTTAAATAATATAAACCAACAATAAAAACATGTTTCAAGTCCAACATAGACGTTTCATATAAGGTGCACATTCTAAACATAAGAACCAGCTTTATTGGCCAAAACTGTGTTCACAAAAATGGAATCTGACTATAGTTTCAGACACTCACAGCAGACAGACATTAAGTATAAATATATAAACTTTAGAGGAAATGGAATGAGGATGAAAAGAACAGCAAGTACATGTGTGTGAGTGTCCTGGATGGAGGGAAGGTCAGCCCTGATAATTCTCTCTGCAGATATTAAAGTGCCTGGGACATAGAATTTTCATGATAAATCCAATTACATTTATGAAAAGGAAACATAAATATTTTAAAAAGTAAATTCATGCCACTGAAATGAATAGTTGTTGAGATATATGGTCTAAAAAGCATTTCCAGACTACTCCTTTGGGATTTTGTTGCGCTTTTATGACGTCACACGGGAATTCCCGCACGTGAACTGACTGCTGCTACAATGGCCAGCAACACAGACAGCAGCACCAAATCTGATGTTTCTTTAGATATATTTCAGTCACTATCACAGAAAGACGCAGCAGAGTCAGGAGAAGAAAGTCAGCTGTCATCAGATGGCAGAGCACAAGTGGTGCGGCTTGCGGACGGCCATCTAATTTGACCAGAGTATATTTTTGCCGGATGCCAGAGAACGGCCGGAGTCAATATGCATGAATTATACCGCACCACCAGGTAACAGAACGAGCACAACATCCGGATTTTCAAAATAATTCTCTAAAGACAGACTAGATCTCGCTATATTAATAAATACACACATAAATGTATATATACACGCGTATATATTAGCAGATGTTTACATTAGATCAATTTGATCAGTTACTTGGTTAACTAAGGTATTATAAACCAAGCAATTAAACATTAAATGCAACAAATATAGCTTCTCTGCAATCAGTGAACTCACCCATTGTAGAACAAAACACATCAAAATATCTGGATGCATAAAACGAAAAATGAAGCAGTTTAAGCAATCTGCCTATCGTTATTGGAGCACCAGTCTGCTTCGCAGCGGACTGGTGCTGATACAGAGCAGATACAGTGTAAATCCGGGGTTACAGTAAATACGGCACTGAGTGAGGCAACCGGAGGCGAAGTGAGCAGCTTGGAGCAGTAGCAGACATGAGGGATGATTCAAGATCTGAAGACACTGCCTGGTGTGTGATTTTTTCTTTATATTAGAATCTTCAGTAAAACATTTATTTAAATATATTGTAAGCGTGTGTAATTTATCAAAAATATATATATAATAATATAATTACAGATAATTATTTATAATAAAAATAATAATTTCAGATTTTTAATTATCAACAATAACTGCTGATGTCTAAATGTAGTTTCGCAACAAGGAAGTGTTCTTACCTGCTGAGCCTTGATCAGTTTAGCAACATCAGCAACAGCCTTTTCTTTGGCGATCTTTTCACATCAGATGCTCTAAACAGCATTGGTATAGCCTCTGCTTCATCATTCTCCTTCGTCTGTAAAATATCCTGACCTCTGACGTAATTCTCCTGTGAATTCAGAGGTTTCTTGTTCGAAGCAGTTTGCCGAAGCAGTTACCACGTCTTTAATCCTAATATGGTGTCAATAACTGCCCAATTCCTTCAATTTTAAGATGTTCTTTTTCAATTTCTGCATTTGTGGGTAAAGTGTGTCACAGACAATTTAATGTTCCCTGCGGTCTAGACCTGTTTTGTGGATAAGCCAAATCCCACTGAGATGGACGAACACAGGACAGACTGATTTATGGCAGAGTAGAAGTTGACTGCAGCTCCTGTGGAAGATTGTCATTTTGGAGTTCAGTTTCTCCTGGACCTTTTTCTAAACAGTGTCTATGTGTGAGTGTCCCATGGTTCCTAGGAACTGGAAGTGATCCACAGCAGACACAGTGTTGTTGAAGATGATGAGGGGAGGAAGTGTAGGGGAAGTTCTCTCGATGTCCGCCGTCATCTCCACTGTCTTAAGTGGTTTAAACTCCAGTTGTTTCTGACCGTCCTAGTGGACCGGCTGATCCACCTCCTGTCTGTATGTGCTCATGGAGAAGATGCTCCCTAGCATCATCTGCTGCTGCAGGTCAGTCAGGAAGCTGATACTGTGAGCTGGGTGAGTTACTGGTGGAGGATATCTGGGTTCAAGGGGATGGTGAGGATGACGAAAACATCATGACTCAGCATTTTGAAGGACGTTTGCTTAATTTAAACCTCATTTAGTTTGGTATTCCTGACTTGAGAAACTACTGAAGCATCTGACGGCTCAATGAGAGGACTCGGTCAGATTTGTCACAGAACAATGTCAGAAACGAAAAAAGAATCATGCAGGGCATAAAGCTTCAACAAACGGAATATCTCTCACATCAGTCTGTTTTTATTCTGCTGTTCTAAACAGTTCTAAACAGAAGATCCTACCCAGACATGATGACCTACACTAATTCATCAATAACATTGTGAGGAAGGCAGTTATTAATTTAGTTACAGTTTTTGAGAGAAATGTTCCTTCAAATAATTCCATTATTTCCTGTTGGGGCCACTCCTTAGAACCTGTTTCTCCAGCTGAAGTCAGCGCCCTCTGA